TGTACATAATATTCAGGATGTGATAGTCATGATAGTTACTGAGCAAGGAAGTTATTTTACTGAAGTCTACAAATTACAAAGAAAGACAGAAAACTCGACATGAAAACGAAACCACTATGCTTGCAGGTCCCGCGTGATGTAAAACGCCAAAGCAAGATTTATGCTAAAGTTTTGATGAAGCCCTCAGTAATTCCTGAATTAAAATGGCTCGATGATGATATTTGCGTTTGGCTTTAGTACCGTACATTTCTCAAGACGCATGTTCCAGATCTCAGCATGTCATTAATCTCAAATGGTAGAAAACATTCTGATAGACATGTATTTTAGAAGACCACAAAGCTTTTGTTAAAAAATACTTTTAATAATTCTTTAAAAAAGCGACCCGCGGAAGGGCACCGATCACCGGGCCATCCGTAGACCTTATCCATATCCATGGGCTACAGTGACACGCTACAGCTTAGATTCGCGGTGTAAAACTTCCCTAATGATACTGTCAATTCTTTAAACAACGAATTCTCTATACGCTGTTTCGTTGCAACCAGACGAGAAATGGATAGCAAGTCACTGACTTGAGAATAATCATAAACGCATAATGCTTTGATATGGTCCTGCGGGACTCACGAGACTCGCGACTATGCCCTTGTTCGACGCCTGCCCTAATCCACTGGATAGCTGAAAATCAGTGCTTGTTGATCATACTAAAAATCATATTATAATTTAATGCATGTTGTAATCCACAAATAAATAGAAACGGACACGAATCAGGAATGACATGACAGGACAGGACATGACATGACAGGAATGACATGACATTAGTCAAAATCGATGCGAGTCGACCAAACACACTTCGTCAACGTTGTCGCAAAGTCCTTTAGGTTCGTTGGTGTCATTGTGTAGAAAACCGCAGGCTGGTATTTGCAGCAAATCCGTATCACGTTGTGCTGCATCAACGACAAATCCCATACGATGAGAGATTCATATGCAACAACATAATGTGTCTGGTACATTAAATTACCTCATGGAAACTAAGGCATGGGACTCGCCACTTCGAGGAAAGCAACCTTGAACGTGAAGCATTACACTTCAGTATGGTTTTCAGGCCCTTACCGATATCTCCTTCCCGCAGCAAGATAGAAGCAGCAACAACTGCTAGCAATCTAACAATCTGCTTCGTATCCTGCCATTGAGGGCTTCAACTCTGCGGCCAGTGGCACAGCCAAAATGACTGCGACATCTACACAGTTTTTTAAAAGCATTATTTGGATTCTTTATGCAGATACATAGTTCTTTGCAAACAATTGCGCCATTAACTTTTTTGACTTAGGTTTTTCGAAGGTTTCTCTGGTGCGATCGGAAACGTTTGACAGAATATTGCAGAGGAAAAACTCGAATATGTAGAAAGTATATACCTGTTTTTTTCAGTGTGCCTGCACATCTCTCTGTCCAATTCCCTGTCTTACTTTTAATTACGCACGAATGAATCAATATGTTCATTCATTCAACTACTTTCCAATTCACATATCTACCCATCTATTTATCGATTTGTATATGTACTTAATGTCTATCTGTTCATCAGTCAATCTCTTACCTAATTAACAGTTTGTTTCTCCATTCATCCATCTATCAACGTATATATCCACCTGTCTCTTTGTCTTTCTATCTGCGCATCCGTCTA